CATTTCAAGTCTAGTATCATTCTTCTTTCAAACTGAGATTAAATAACTGGGGAGTAACCAAAGAAGAGTCATGCTGGACTTGATAATTCTATTTTTCTCCCACTTATAATGCCAGACCTGCTGTGTTATTTCCGATTTCCAGCATTTTCAATATTTTGCTTTTACTTATCACCAATCTATTTGTCTTTTGGACCCAGGTTGACAGAGTATGGACCAGGTTTCTGTACTTAGCAAGAGTTATTATTTGTTATAGATCAATAGATTCTAACTACAGAGAAACAAGTATGAGCTGTCAACATATAACATTACTGGTTAAAACTCTAACCCCGATGAACCTCTCTACACACACAAAAAAACATGATGTCTTGGGTGGAGGGAAAGGCTGGGAAGGCAGTTCAATAGCACTGTCTGTGCAGAAAGGAAACAGTGACTGGTACGCACTTTTATTGAAGTCTCTTTCTTATCAATTAGCAGTCACATTGCTGAAGGGAAATAAACTGGCTATCTCTAAACTTGGTGTTTGTTTTTTAACTGCAGAGCTAAAACAGCTTCCCATCCAGAGGTCTGATGACTTCTGCTCTGAGCATTCACATCCCCAATCGGTTCAGCTACCTGGGAGTCAATCACCTATTTGTTGGCAGGCAGGAGGCTTTTTATCATTGATAACTGGTCACCATTTCACAGAGTATTCAGCACAGCATCCTGGCTCCAGTTCGACTGTAACTTGACTTTCCCCTTTGCTCAAACCAGCAGAAGTCTGAATAGCAGTGACTAGAGTTTCTAGTAACTTGCTTTTTTAAAAAAAAGTGCAATAATCCTTGGCTTTTAAGTCAGTCCTTTTCATATTTCAGTACACAACCAAAAAATAGGAAAATAAAAAGATTCTGCCTTTACACATTTCCTGCATGTGTACGGATGTAGTGCCAGACAGTTTTTTTAAAGTAGATCATTTTTAAGTGCAACTCTGCTTTATTTGCCTGAATTATGCATTTTTTTGCAGATTGCTATCTTATGCTTGTGTTATCAATAAAATCAAAAAAAGGCACCCTGAGCTATCATTTTAAGAGTAGGTTCTTGGAATGACGATGATTGACCATCACCACTGCAACATCTGCCCCCACCACCCCACCTTATCCAGAGCCAATTACTTTGGTTGCAAACTAGGTGCTTTTAACTGTAGGGTTTCACTGTTGTTAAAATGCCAATTAAAATAGTATTTTGCATTAAACACTTTGTGATAGTCTTCTATCTACCAACTGAGTTAACCGAACAGTGTAAGAACTCCTTGCACAAAACCGTTCCAGTGAATGAACAATGAAATATTGGGCCACTACATTCTTTTAGTATGTGAAAAACTTTGCATATCTGACTGATTCAGATGAGCTGCTTTGGAAACATGGAGCATACTTTAAAACTGACTGGGCCCTTGAAGTACAGGATAGTTGATTGGCGGGGGTCTGGGAGAGTCATACTATGTCCCCTTTCTCACACCAGTCATTTACCACATTTTAAAATTTAAATGGCCGGCATCAGAGACGACAACTTTGACAGCTCTTGTTAAAGGCCAAGTATATAGAGTGAATGTGAGAGTAGGGTGCCGAGGCACAACGTGGGAAGAGGGCCAGCGAAGTGATGGAGTTTTAGGGAGGGTAGGGTTACCTCATCAACTCCTGGGCGATAAGAGACGGTGCTGGGTTCCAGGGAAAGAGGGGAGTTGGTGTCAGGTTCTGCTTTAGGAGGTGCAAGTTATTTGGGAACTGAACAAATAATTGCCAAATAGGCTTCCTTAAAGTACATGTGAAGTAGAGCACTTGAGAGTGATGTTTTGCTGCCATTCCAAGATCAGGAAAGGAATCTCTGGATATAGTAGTCAAGGCCATTGTTTGGCATGATGCAAAATAAACAAATGGAATGTTGAGGAGGTAGTAGGAACTGCACATGCTGGAGAATCTGAGATAACAAGGTGTAGAGCTGGATGAACACAGCAGGCCGAGGAGCAGGAAGGCTGACGTTT